AAATTTGTTTTACAAAACAATTAGAAGTCAGATCTGGCAGTATGTAGAAAGTGATTTTATTATAGGGATGGCAGTGTTGGTTCAGCATCGGAAGATCCACCCCTATAAGTAACATTTTAACAGAGGAAAGGAAAAAGCCATATTATCCTGTCAGTAGTTGCAGAAAATGTATTGGACTAAATTCTGTAGCTGTTCATGGTAAAAGCTATCAGGAAACTAGCAGTAGAACAGAACCTTCTCAGCAGATAAGCTATGTACTCCATACTTCCAGCAAAAGTGCCTTATATGAATGGAAAAGATACAATGGTTTCTCCCTAAAGTGGGGAACAAAGGCAGATATGCCTACTTTTCATCTGTCCATTAAACTTTGGAACATAGGCCCAAACCAAAATAGTCTAGCCAACCTTATTTAAAACATTACTAGATAAGGCCTGTTAGGCTCAAAGCTTACACAAGACTTGCAAATAAAAGCCTTAATAACATAACATAAAGTATATGTATGATTTAGGTCTATATATGTTTCTATGTATTAATTGTTAGGTATGTATTATCCCCCAAAAGTTCTACTTAAGTTGGGTTATAGATAAATGACACTAATGATATTAGCTCAAATACTTATTGTTCACATGGTTTAACAACAGATTAATTTAAGTCAGTTGGTAAGAGTAAAGGTGTTGTTTAAGTTGATGATATGTGTCTAGGTTGTTAGTCAATGAAGATAATATAAAAAATTTGTTGTATAAATGCAATGTCTATTATTGTGTATGTATAATAACAAGAGTTTTTCCTTGGTTAAAGATAACATATATTTTATATTATAATATAAAAGTCTTAATTGCTATGATTTGGTTCTCATGAGTCATCTAAAGTAAATATTAAGATAAATAATTGGTGAATGATTCTGCATGTGAAAAATTCAATTTGAGAACAGAAGTGTTTGGCAAAATTTTCCTTATGTTTGCAAAGTCCACATAGGGTGACGAACATGACCATAGCCATCTTCCCCACAATAATACAAATATGGCCAACTTCCCTGCTCTGACACATGTTCCTGGCTTCCTCTACTCAAGATCATGGTCTTAGAAGACCTGTGCATAATTGCTGTGAAGCTTTTATGTGTGCTTTTTAGCACATACAGTAGCATACAGTATTCTTTAATCCAGCGTGGCTCCAAAGAAAGTGAAGAGCAAGCATGGTGGTAAAAAGAAAGAGCAGAGTGGTAATGAAGGTGACAAGAAGGTGCAGAGAAATAATGGAGGTAACAAGAAAGTATAGAGCAAGAATTGAAAGAAGGTTTTGGAGAAAATAACCATTGAATTGAAGAAGGAAATTATAGAAAAGCATGAGCATTGTATTCATGTGACTGATCTGGCCATGGAGTATAAGATGGCAAAGTTGACAATCTTGAATATTTTGATGAATAAAGGTGTCATCAAAGGAGCTTATGTGGCAAAAGGAGTAATGATGTTAACCAAGTAGAAGCCCTGTGCTGGAAGAGATGGAAAAACTTTTGTTAGTGTGGTTCAATGAGAAACAGCTGGCATGTGATAGGATTAGTGAAACTATGATCTGCGAAAAAGCCAGGAAATTGAAGTGATTTGCTGCAAGAAAATTCCACTATAAGTGTAACAGGTGATGAATTTAAAGCTGGTAGAGGGAGGTTTGATAAATTCCACAAGAGAAGCGGCATTTGCATGTGATAAGTAATTGTGAGGCTTCCAGCTCTGGAAGCCTCAAGACCAGTGCAGAAGCCTACAAGAAAGAATTCATGGAATTCATGAAGGTAGAAGGATATGTCACTCATCAAATGTTCAACCACAATGAAACAGGGCTCTTTTGGAAGAAGGCACTGAACAGAGCCTATATCACACAAGAAGAAAAGGCACTTTTGAGGCACTTGCCCATGAAGGACAGACTGACCCTTTGCTGTGTGTGAACACAAGTGATGATCTGAAGATTAAGGCACTACTGGTGTGCCATTTCCAGATCCCTCATGCATTCAAGGAACAGAACATGAACAAGGTCAGACTGCCTGTCATATGGAGGGCCAATGTGCGAACTTGGGTCACAAGAGAATTGCTCATGGAATGGCTGCACCAGGTGTTCACCCTCACCATTAAGAAATGTCTTCCTGACAACCAACTGTCTGAAAGGTGCCTTCTTCTGATGGTCAATGCCCCTGCATACCCTCAGCCTTGCTGAATGATATGGATACTGAGTATAATTTTCGAAAGGTCAAGTTCCTCTACCTCAACACAAAACTTCTTCTGCAGCTCATGAACCAGCAAGTGATCTGGAACTTCAAGAAGCAATACACAAAAGCTTTCTTCAGCAGGTGTTTTAATGTCACTGAATAAATGCTCTTGACTCAGAAAGAGTTCTGGAAGAAAAATTTCAATGCTGTCCATTGCATCAACCTCATTGACAAAGCCTGGGAAGATGTCACCTACCAGACCTTAAACTCATCCTGGAGAAAACTGGTCAGAATGTGTCACTGAATATGACTTTGAAGGGTGTGATGCTCAGGTAGTGGAGGAGACTGTGTCCATGGGGAAGAGTATGGGTCTGGATGTTGATGGTGCAGACATAGAGAAGCTTGTTGAGGACCTTAAGAAGGAGCTGATGACAGAAGGACTTGCTGAACTCCAGAGTGAGCAGCACAAGGCACTTGTTCAGGGGCATTCTACCAAGAAGAAGAAGACAGGGAGGAGGTGACCAGTGATGCAATAAAATCCATTACGGAAAAATGGAATGAGTGCCAAGATTTCTCTGAGAAGCACCACTCCAACATAACTAATGAACAGAGTGTTGATTCTGATGAATGTGTCATTTCTGAAAGGTTATGCAGGGCAGGAAAAGAAAAGTGACATTAGACAGTTTTTTTTTTTTTTTCAAAATTGACCCTGGAGCTAAGAGACAAAGAAGGCAGAAAATCCTTGAAGAAGATTTCCCCGATGTCCTTATGGAGGGAGACTCTCTCCAAACAATGACCTCACCCCCAACTTCCTGTCATTCACACCAGAATTCACCTCAAGCAAGGCTATTTTTCTCTCTCTTCATGCTGTAATCTACTGTGCTTTGTTTCATATTTTTGTGGTTAAAAAATACACATGGTTCAGAAGAGATTAACCTTATTTACATTGAACCTTATGGGGAAATTTGATTCAGTTCATGACCAATTTGGCTTGTGACCAGAATCATAGAATGAATTAAGTTCATGAACTGAAGTACCACTGTATAATTAAGTTGGCTGTAATTAAAAGGTTAAGCTTCATATTTCTAAAGCAAAAAGCTTTTCTTAAGATATTAAAATTCTCTTGGTTAAACTAACAAAACTAGATTAAAAAGTAAAAGTTCTATATTTAACCAAGATAGTTTCTTGTGTTTTCCATCCTTAGGCTTTTGATTCCTAAAAATTGAGTTGTAAGACTGAAAAATTATTTAAGTGTTGACTTGTAAAATGTTTTCAAAGGGCTTTTCCTGTCAGGAAGAAGATACCCTTAGTTGAAAGTTCCTCCCTGTCTCCTGACCTGGACCTCAAGCAGACTGGAAAAAAATTAGAAATGAAAGATAATAAGTTTCTTTTTAAACTTTTTAAAACTAATCTCCTTTGTAGAAAGTTCCTATACTCTGCTTATCTATAAAGCCAAGACAAAGAAAACATGTTGGACTTCTTGGTGGATATCCTTCTTGGATGGATATCCACTAGGAGCCTTCTTCTTCTTATTATTTCTAATATATACTCTCCTAGGTTCCACCTTTGTTCTCAAATTTGTTCTTCAATTTTGGAAGACAAAAAACTTGATTTTATACAAAATTATACAAAATTAATCATGTCACTATCATGCTAGGAATAGACTTTCTATCCTGTAAATGGAGGTTGGGTAGAGAAAGAAATAATCAGAAATTTTAGGTATTCTTGCCTGGACTAGACTTTGTTTTCCTGGAGCTTTAAAGGGAAAGACATGCTGACAGTCTGCTACTTTCTTGGAAATATGATCACTTTTGACTAGGATGTGGGGAAAGAGGGAGCCCCATGTCCTTGTTTATTTGCTCGAGTGGACTTTCAATCATAGTGAGCTGAGAGGAAAGGGAGGAAGCCCTGGTTTAAATATTACATGCATTAGATTATTCCTTAGATGTACTAGATTTTCTTGAATAAATATTTCTTCATTTGTTGTATGTCCTTAGGAAATTTTCAAGAGATTTCAAATTTATTGTTTGTTTAAATTAACAAAATCATTTATCATTGTCTTGCTGAGGAGAGGGTCTATGGAGCCCATTTTACCACCATTCTATGTCTTGTCTTAGTAAATGTACAAGTATCTCAATTTTCCATCAATTTGTGAGTGGATGAAGTTTGGTGTGTGTATACAAGGGAAAATGGAATACTGTTAGTGAAAATAATAAACTACCTTTACATGTGATAATATAAATAAATATAAAAAATTTACTGAGTAAAAGAAATTTGACCCAAAAGAATGCATATTAGATGATTATATATACACACAGATGTCAAACCAATGTTTACTTGGAAAAAGGATTGGAGAAAGGTTTGCACTAAAAAGGGGCAGAAGAAATTTGGAAGGGGATGATAGAAGTTTTCCACATCTTGACTATAATGATAGTTACACTGATATATACCACTGTTGAAACTTGAAGAATTATATCCCTTAAGTACATACTTTTCATATATTATTTCTCCAAAAGTCTTTGAGGAAAAAATGATTAGAAGTCTTTATAGAGCCAATGAGTTGCATTTTACAGCAACAATTCAGATTATCATGCTTGAATTCAAAGTTTAATTTTTTCTAAAAAAGAGGAAATGACTAAAACCAATAAAAATATTTATTATGTAAATATCTCAATGTTAAGAGTAAGCTAAAAACTTTTACCACTGATAATGTAGCAGCTGATGAGTGAGAATTTACCACTATGAATACTACCATTAAATTAAGAAAAGTAGAGAAATTATTAACTCCATAATCACCTTTAATTATCACTTTAATGGAAAGTTACTAGATAAGTTTGAAGAAGTTTCTCCTGTGCATATTATTTTGGACGTATATATTATTTAGATACAGAAATTTTAAAAAAAACATACCAATAATTCTGAAAAATCAAGAAATTAGCTAGGTATTAAAATTATTTTGTGTATGACTTATGCTAAAACTTTGATTACTTTATAAAATATTATAATACATATACAATATTTCCAGAGTGCAATATATGCATATATTTATGTACATGTATTATTAATTTATATTAATATGCTAGTTATTCCTATTTTTATCTTTTAATCTCATCTCTTCCTTAAACAGTTACTCTGTACAGCACATCCACCCTCCTTGAGTCAACAGGAAAATGAAAAGTATACTTGAATACCAGAATATACTTGAATTTAAAACAGAAATTGCTTGACATTAGGAAAGAAAGAAAAAAGAGGTCAGTATAGAAAAACTAATGTGCATTTCCTTATAAAGTGACATCTGTTAGCTTTTACCTCAGCTGAAGATCCTTTAATGAGCTGGTAATACTGATATATACTGCCCTAGGAGGCAATATAATCAGTGACTATGCCCACTGGTCTTCTGGAAGTTACCTGTGATGTGTGTATGTGTGGAGGAGGAAACAGATTAAAACTATGTTTGTATTTATGTTATGTCTTACTGTAGCAGTGGGCTGCACATGATTAATGAAGAATATAACAATTATTTTCCACTGATAGTCAACTCTACATTTAGTATCTTTTTTCTCATTTTAATAAAAATTTAGCACGATCTAACAGGCAAGAAAACAGTTTAAATCCCTCTGAAGGACTTCTGGGTAAGATGGTATGTATCCTTCATGTGCGTAAGAAGAGTTAGACAAAATAGTATAAGCAAGGCGAGAAAGTATAAGTAAGGGGAGAAAGAGAAGAAGAGCCACAGGAATCAAGAAAGAGATGAAAGTAACATTAAAAAGCCTACAGAAACAGAGAAGCAACGTGGAGGAAAATATGAAGAAGCCTGCAATGATGAGACAGGAGATTAGAGTGTGTCAAAGCTGGCTGGGAAAGTAGATGTGACTTATTAATTACAAAATTCCAAGACACATATGCAGAACAGTTCCCAAAACCCTGCATGTAGACTTCTCATGAGAAACTGAAGTTTTCCATAGATGGCTTAGTCTTGATGTCAGTCTGAAGGGTGACACAAGAAGAGTGGCCCACATTGAGTTTTTGCCACTGTGTTTGCTCTTTCATGGTGGTCCACCCTCAAGCTGTGGATGTACTTCTTTTTCTACTTTTACTTGGCCCAAACTCACTCTGAGTTGGGCTTGTTTCTTTTCCTACCTTTAATAAAACTTTGCTACCATTTGGCTTGTCTTGACCAATTCTTTGTCAGGAAAAAAAGAACCCAGAAGCCACTTTCACCTAGCCACTCTAGCACCCCCAAATCCAGTAATAACATCAACCTCAGCTACTGAGGATGAGGCAAATCTGACTGGACCAGTAGGAAGCTATCTCAAAGAGGTCCAGAAGCACCAATGATAAACAGTGGAGTGGTAACCCTACCTACAGACAGAATTATGGTTATTGGAGTCTGTAAATCCAGTGTGGAGATTTGATCTGAAAGTGACTCTTCCTTCATGGTAGGCTAGCTTTGGAGAAGAAATCTGGCAGCGCTCATCATATCCTAGAGTGGTATAACCAGGACCAATTTTGAGAAAGAGCTTATTGTTAGGGACTGAACCAGTTTGGCCTCAGAAGTCATAGAATAACCAGTGTCTTGGGAGGCACCTTTGTTATTGGGTAGCTCCTAAAAGCGGTCCACCAAATAAACATTGCCAGCTTCTGGGTTGTTTGCCTCTCCTTCTGGAGTTAGATTCCAGGTTCTTTTCATCTTGCATGAAGAATTGAAGAAAACAAGCAAAAAACAGTGGTAAAGTTTTTTTTTTTTTTTAAAGTAAAAGTGAATAGTGAGGGAGAAACTGGCTCTGTAGAATGTGAGCTTGGGCCAAGTAAAAGAGGAAAAAAAAGATAAAAGTGGATCCTGGAAGAAGCAGGGTGGGCTATCATGAGGAAAGCCATGATAACATGCTCTCCTTGGCATCTGTTTCCTTTTATATGTGCTCTTATTGTGTGACTATGTGTAACTTTTACATGGGTGTGCATCACAGGCAACTACCATCTCATTTTCCCTCCCTCCCTTCCTTCCTTCCTTCCTTCCTTCCTTCCTTCCTTCCTTCCTTCCTTCCTTCCTTCCTCTCTCTCTCTCCCTCTCTCTCTTTCTCTCTTTCTTTCCTTCTTTCTTTTAAAAATAACTGGCCTTACAAGCTAAGCCTCTGATGTTAAACAACATATAGGCTTGTTAGAACAAGAGAGGAACCTTTTTCTTTCTTCCCACATGAAAGAAAAATTATGTACTATCCCTTTAAAAACTTAGGAAACCTTTGGGGCTGCAGAGCTACAACCTAAGGACAGTGACTGTGGATCCTGGGCAAATGCAGGTGCACAAAGCAGTGCCCAATGGCAGCCGCACAACTCCATGCAGGCATAACCCAGAAGTGTTGTTCCTGGTGGGGCATGATCATCTTAGTCCAAGGGGAAATGCGGACGCAGGAAAAAAATCTTGGCTATTTTAAAGTACCCAAGGCTTTTGGCCAAAACTGAGTGCTGGACAAGTCAAAAGGCACTGGGCAGGCCAAAACCAGCATGCTCACACCAGTACTAC